GTTGAGTTTTATAAGGGCACCACGGGGTGACCAGCCCCTCCCCACCCAGCCCCACCCCTCCCACCCGCCACCTAGGCCCACCCTCCCCACCCAGCCCCTCCCCACCCTCCCCTCCCAGCCCCTCCCCTCCCCACCCAGCCCCACCCTCCCCTCCCCACCCAGCCCCACCCTCCCCTCCCCACCCAGCCCATCCCCTCCCCACCCAGCCCCACCCTCCCCACCCAGCCCCTCCCCACCCTCCCTACCCAGCCCCTCCCCACCCAGCCCCTCCCCACCCTCTCCTCCCCACCCAGCCCCTCCCCACCCTCCCCTCTCCACCCACCCCCTCCCTGCACGACGGACACAATAATCCCTTGTGGGCTGGTGTAACCAGGAGGTTCCTACCAGTATGAGAGCATTGCTTTTGTTTGGCTGGGACGGGTGGGTGATTGCGAAAGCGTGTTCACCTGCAGATGGTTGATTGGGTAACGATGCAAGGGAGGGAGCACGGGGTTTTAATAAAGAAATTGCAGATTATAATTGGAGGTCTTATAAATAGAGAGGTGGGAGGCACCCATTTTTCGTAGGGCGTTAAATTGGAGATTAAACAAATAATAGAGCGTATTCTTAGGTTTTTTTGGTAAAGTCACGTAGGTAAAAAATTTAAATTAATAAAAGTAAAATAATTTTTAAATTTTTTTTATAAAAATTAATAAAAGTAAAATAATTTATTTTATTTATTTTAATTAATAAAAGTAAAATATTTTTTTATTATTTTAATTGTATTAATTTAATTTTTTTACCTACGTGACTTTACCGAAAAAACCTAAGAATATGAATCCTTGCATTCACGAAAGCTTCAAATCTAGAAATAATAGAGCGGCCTTGAGGAATATTTGTGGTTCTAAGGTCGAGCCAGGTTAGGCAGTTGACATGCATTCTCACTTGGGAGGCAGTCAGCCGGTTGTCTTTTATTGTTTTTGTGAGTGTTGCGTAGCAATAATAACTAAAAAACAAGCTGTATTTCCGGGGTTATTACACATGTAATGGAAATACAGTATGTGTTAGTTGATATGTCTATGGTGGAAATAATATTTAACATTACATTTTAGTTTTCATTTCATAACAACAACGTGATGGACAGACGGTTCTTTTATTTACAAGGCTGAATGGAGGCCTACATACCGAAGCTTGAGTATTATATTTTTTACATCGTATTTTTAGGGCCTAGTGTTCAGCATATATTTTGTCTTTTCGTATGCACATGTATTACTCTGGAAATAATCAAAATGCACTTCCATAACATTTGCAAACGGCTAACAGCTAGAGCAGCAGTCGGGAACCTATGGCTCGCGAGCCATATATGGCTCTTCCGGTGACGGCATATGGCTCCCAGACAATTTTGAGTTGAAAAAAATAATAATAAAAAAATAAAAATAAAATCAGTTTTGAACTGATTTTAAAATACTTGTGATATTGCTTAATAATACTGTGTCATTTTAAAGTAAACAGAAATTAGTTTTGAAGATAAAATTTCTCGGGTCACGGGTCCCGTGACCAGAAGTCGCATTAAAAGTAAGACGTATTTAGTTTATTATACGTTAAAAATACTATATGGCTGTCAATGAAATATATTTAGAAATATTTGGCTTTTATGGCTCTCCCAGTCAAAAAGGTTCCCGACCTCTGAGCTAGAGTATACATTATCTGCAAACTGGTGATGTGCGTGCAGCATTGACTTATGTACGTGTTTATGTTTGCCTGCGATGCGATGCGGGTCGCCAAAATTACAAAAAAACAATAACAACAAAGTACGACGCTGCACACGGCAAATAGAAGATCAGAGGAAACAAATAAATCCAGTTACGGTTGAAATCGAACAAGACTGCACAAATATTATCAATATCAAATTAGGTATCTTCAAACACAAGTTACCTCGGATAAATGACTTTTAAAAAACGATAAAAGCACAAAAACAAGTTTCAGAAACATTAAATTGATTTGGGGATAATTTCGCTCATATACACACAGATACGAAATATTATCAACATTTCATGGCAGCTTTGATGATGGTGCGTGCATGTTTAATATACAGTAAACTCGATTATCCACGTGCGACTTATCCGCTTTGAGAATTAAGTGCGCGCCTGAGATTTTGGCATAAATTAATAACGTGTGTATTTTCCCTTCAGCCCAAATTAATAATCTAAAAGCAGGGATACATTGTTTTCTTGTAAATGTATATTACAAGTCCCGTGTTTTTAACCAAACAAATGTGATGCGGTTAATCCGATATCCATGTGATCGCCTCTACAATACAGTAGTTGCCATATCTTTAAAACAGTGGGCGGAGTTTAACTATTTTTTGATTGTCTGCGATTTTGAATTATCCGCTGCCGTCCTCCCTGTCACTGCAGATAATCCAGAGTTTACTGTAATTTAATATGAATGAACATTAATATTTCAAATGGCTCAGCTTTGAAGCAAGGTTAGTTTTATGGCCAGCGAGAATAAGAGCACACCCACTCTAGCATGCACTTGCTTCCTTTGTTAAGGATAATTTGAAACCGATCGTGCGAAACTCATTGCTAATCAAAGAGTCTTTCGGTCTTGAGATTATAATATGATGTTCTACCACGTCGAAAGTCTTTATGCAGATAGCTGACCACACTTTCTTATCTCTAAAGCCACAGACATCTCGACAACTGCTACAGTAGCCACCGATAGGGCGCTACTAAGTGAACGGAATCCTGATTCATAATAACGTTTTTTGGGTTAGATCGCGTTATTTATAAATGTGTCGGCAACCCTCCACCACCCGACACGGCCAATCAGTAAAAGAAAGTGTCACGTTGACAAAAGACAACTAGTTCACTACTTTAGCCCACCGGTGTGTTGAAGAGTGAATCCACAACATTTACAATTTGAGTACGACGTTTTGCTGGTAATTACATCCAGCATCTTGGGGCGATTTGCCAGAAGGGTGAAGCCATCCACCTGCTTCCGGTCTTAAATAGTGCAGGATGACGTCAATGGTCAGTGGGCAGATCAGCTCCACGGTAGGTCCTGGTGTCAAGGACATGGACCCGCATCCGCTGCTCTGTCACTATGTAGTCCAGTAGATGTTCTTGCTTGGACCCGGCATGCATCCATGATGTTTTGTGGATGCTCCGATGCAGAACAGCATGTTGGTAATTTCAAGCCCATGGGCTGCACGAAAATCTAGCAGCCTCCTACCATTGTTATTGAGCTGATCTGGCCCATATCTTCCAATCACTCCAGACCAGGTGCTAGCATCATGACCAACTCGGGCATTGAAGTCACCCAACAAGATGACTCTATCCCGAGGGGCCACTTTAGCCAGCACCTGTGACAGGTCATAGAAGGCATCTGACTCATCGGCCTTGCCTGCATCCTTCCATGGATGTTCATCTTCGGTGGGGGCATAAGTAACCACGACCACCACTCCTCGCCTCTGGTTGATGGGAAGGCGAGTCAAAAGTAGCCTGGGGCTTACAGCTCCCCAAACCTCACCGCTACGCTCCCACGCCTCCTTCATTCTTTTGTTCAGAAGAGCCACTCCCTGTTGTTTGGCAGTCTCCTACCCCGAGTAGAGGACTGTCCACCCCTCATGGTGGCAGGAGCCAGAGCCGGTCCACCATACCTCTTGAATACCACAGAGATCCAAGAGGTATCGGTCCAGCTCCCGACAGAGGAGTGGCAGCCTCTCCTCCGCAGTGAGCGTTCGAACATTCTACTTGGTCATCCGAAGTGGCTTTTTGTTCTTTCTGGAGGAGCCCCGAGGGTGAGGATTCAGTCACCTGGCTCCGCCACCCCCACCTCCGCCTGTCATCTAGAAACGTGATGGGGTTCAACAATGATGACGTCATCCTGCACTATTTAATACTGGAAGCAGGTGGATGGCTTCACTATTCTGGCAAATCGCCCGCAGATGCTGAATGTAATTTCCAGCAAAACGTCGTACTCAAATTGTAAATGTTGTGGATCCATTCTTCAACACAACGGTGGGCTAGAGTAGTGAACTATTTGTCTTTTGTCAATGTGACACATTTCTTACTGATTTGCCATGTCGGGTGGTGGAGGGTTGCGACGCATTTATGAACAACTCTACCAGGAATGCATCCATAATCTGTTATTATGAATAATACTGGTCTTGAAAGCTAGCGTGTTAAACTGAATCCCGATTGTCTCGGATTAATCTTGCCTCGACAAAGTTGCTTGTGTACAAGCTTCCCCACAAGTATTGACAATACCGTATGGGCAATTTTTGTGCATATTGGATGGGTGGGTGTTTTAATGGGTGGGTGTTTGCATGGGTGGGTGTTTGGTATGGTGTATGGCTGGGTGGGTGTTTGGATGAGGGTGGGTGTTTCGCTGGGTTGGGTGTTTGCATGGGTGGGTGTTTGGTATGGTGTTTGGCTGGGTGGGTGTTTGGATGAGGGTGGGTGTTTCGCTGGGTTGGGTGTTTGCCTAGGTGGGTGTTTGGTATGGTGTTTGGCTGGGTGGGTGTTTGGATGATGGTGGGTGGATAGCTGGGTTGGGTGTTTGCATGGGTGGGTGATTGGTATGGTGTTTGGCTGGGTGGGTGTTTGGATGATGGTGGGTGGATAGCTGGGTTGGGTGTTTGCATGGGTGGGTGTTTGGTATGGTGGGTGTTTGGATGTGTGGGGGTTTGGTTGGGTAGGTGTTTCGATGGGTGGGCATTTGGCTGGTTGGGCATTTGGCTGGGTGGGCATTTAGTTGGGTATTGAGATGGGTGGCGGTTTGGGTGGCTGGGTGGATTTTCTGGTAGGGTGGCTTTCCTGAATGAGCGAGCTCACCCGAGTGTTTTTTTTTCTCTCTTGCAAGGCAAGGCAGTGGCTGTCACTCACACCCCACCGACCACCCAAATCAGACACCACACACACACACCCACGCGAACCATTGGACCGACGCGATGGGCGAGGTCAGCGTTAGTGGGCGGTGTGACTGGCCCTTTTTCGAAGACAGTGCTACGACGATTGGCTCTGCAGTGATATTCCTGGATAGGGGAAGGGTTTTTTTCTTTCAAAACCAGTGGGCCGATGCTGCAGTTGGTGCCGTGGTAGAGGGAAATAATGTGCTCCACGTATTTATATGGAGGGTTAGTGTGCGTATACGAAGGCGGATACTGTACGTTCAAGCGTGCTGCTGAATGGTGATTTTTCGGTAGGTGTCTCTGTTTTTGTGTGTGCAGAGGACAAACGCATCGGCACACAAAGACATTTGAACACACCCGTACACATGTGCGGCGCACATACACACCCGTACATATACATACGCGTACGGGACGTGAACTCACGCACCGACACATCCACACACGTGTCAGACACGTACAGACGAATGTCCATACACATACACGCATGTCGGCACGTGTGTGGCAGTACGCGTAGACTGTAGTAGCTATGTGCATACACAATCACACACACGTACAGTCATAGATAGTGTGCATTTCACCGTGTAGCCTTAACAGACTGTAGGGGCAAGTGCTGTTAGCGAGTACCTATGAAGGCCGGCACGGCACACGAGGGGGTGGGTGGCCAACACCACGCCCGACCGCCTTTGTCTCCCCAGTGGCGATGTTTACGCACCGTACCAGGTACACATTTGAGGCTGAGTCGACCTAGGGGAGGCCCGGGACCGGTTCAGATAATCGTTACTGGTGTTGGCCGTGAGCGGGAATCGAACTCGGGTCGCCGGGTTCGTAGCGCAGCGTGGCGCTAACCACTCCACCACCGCTCCTCATAACACTCATATATGGACATGTGCGTACATACAGTACACGCATGTGCACATACAGTACACGCATGTGCACGTACAGTACACACTCGCTGATACGGTGGCGGCGTTGTGCAGAATCGAAGTAACACAACAAAATAAGCAGACAAAATGCGTTTGCGTTGTTAACTCACGTATCTTGTATTGTTTATATTTGTGCACATCCACGACCCCGGACCGGTTTCCACACGCTGTGTCTCATCAGCAGCCTCAGACTTGCTGAGCCACTGGTTTAACACGAGGAACACTATGGACCGGTTTCCACACGCTGTGTCTCATCAGCAGTCTCAGACTTGCTTGAGCCACTGGTTTAACACGAGAAACACTATGGACCGGTTTCCACCCGCTGTGTCTCATCAGCAGTCTCAGACTTGCTGAGCCACTGGTTTAACACGAGGAACACTATGGACTGGTTTCCACACGCTGTGTCTCATCAGCAGTCTCAGACTTGCTTGAGCCACTGGTTTAACACGAGGAACACTATGGACTGGTTTCCACACGCTGTGTCTCATCAGCAGTCTCAGGCTTGCTTGAGCCACTGGTTTAACACGAGGAACACTATGGACTGGTTTCCACACGCTGTGTCTCATCAGCAGTCTCAGACTTGCTGAGCCACTGGTTTAACACGAGGAACACTATGGACTGGTTTCAACACGCTGCGTCTCATCAGCAGTCTCAGGCTTGCTTGAGCCACTGGTTTAACACGAGGAACACTATGGACTGGTTTCCACACGCTGTGTCTCATCAGCAGTCCCAGGCTTGCTTGAACCACTGGTTTAACACGAGGAACACTATGGACTGGTTTCCACACGCTGTGTCTCATCAGCAGTCTCAGACTTGCTGAGCCACTGGTTTAACACGAGACACACTATGGACTGGTTTCCGCACGCTGTGTCTCATCAGCAGTCTCAGACTTGCTTGAGCCAATGCTGAACTGCCAGATCTTTATAGACAAAGACCCTCTCTGTCAAATATTGGTCCTGGTTTGACGCAAAACGATATAATGCACAACACAGAATACACATAATACTCATTAGCGTGGAGAATATCCAATAACAAAGTCAGAATCTTTATGCAGACTGGAGGAATCCGATGAGCTATGAAGCTCTTGATGACAATGTCCAGTATTTCACAGGTAGAACGGGTAAGCAAGACCTGTTTGACTTAAAAAAAAAACTATATATTATTGTTCACATATCCCCATCTGCCCCATGTGGACTACGGGATGTGTGAAAACATCACGGGAAGGTGTTGACTTTGGACTGTGCAGTACACAGCACGTACTGCAACTATACCGTGCGTGTGTACAGGGGCAGGAGGCAGTCTGTGGCCGTGTTATGATAATTGGAGCATCTGGTTTGCACGCACAAAGACACGGTACACCATCACGTCTCTACACACGCGTAGCAGTCGGCGGCACGGTGGCTTGGAGATGTTAACTACCTCGCCTGGTACACAGGAGGTCGTGGGTTCCATCCCGACCCTGACGCCTGCAGTATATTTGGAGTTTGCGTCTCTCTCTGTCATCATCATCACGGTAGCTATGAGATGTTAACTACCTCGCCTGGTACACAGGAGGTCGTGGGTTCGATCTCGACCCTGACGCCTGCTGTATACAGTATTTGGAATTTGCGTCTCTCTCTCTCTCATCATCATCACGGTGGCTAGGATATGTTAACTACCTCTCCTGGTGTGCAGGAGGTCGTGGATTCGATCTCGCCCCTGATGCCTGCTGCTGCATATTTTGAGTTTTTGTGTCTCTCTCTCATCATCATCACGGTGGCTAGGAGATGTTAACTACCTCGCCTGGTGTGCAGTAGGTCGTGGATTCGATCTCAATCCTGACGCCTGCTCTATATTTGGAGTTTGCGTCTCTCTCTCATCATCATCACGGTGGCAAGGAGATGTTAACTCCCTCGCCTGGTACACAGGAGGTCGTGGGTTCTAACCCGACCCTGACGCCTGCTGTATATTTGGAGTTTGCGTATCTCTCTCATCATCATCACGGTGGCTATGAGATGTTAACTACCTCGCCTGGTGTGCAGGAGGTCGTGGGTTCTAACCCGACCCTGACGCCTGCTGCTGTATATTTGGAGTTTGTGGTGTCTTTCTCTCGCTCCCCGTGGTCGCGTGGATTTTTCTCCGGTTCCTCCGGGGTTTTCCCTCCACATTTAGAATCGACATCACTCGTTCGGAGTATTCGGCTGCCATAAATGTCCACGCGATGCTCAGCCCACTTCGTTGAGCTATCATCTGTGGCGAGGTCGCTTCTGAAAAAAAGCAACTAACACAGTTCCGTGGGTCCTATCTGGTGAAACAAAAGTAGTTTTTTTTTTAACATGACCGCATGTTTCGATTTAAAGCTTTCGTGACTGCAGGGATTCATCTTCTTGGTTCTTTCGGTAAAGTCACGTAGAAGGGAAATAATAAAATAATAAAAATAAAACATAATAAAATAATTCTCACGACGTTTCGGCCACAACGCAAGCAGCCGTCCTCAGGTGGAGAGCAGGCCTGTCGGGGAGAGAGCGATTCAGACGCTGTCTCCCCGACAGACCTGGTCTTCACCAGTGCCTGACACTGTCTTCTCGACAGACCTGTTCTTCACCTGAGGACGGCTGCTTGCGTTGTGGCCGAAACGTCGTGAGAATTATTTTATTATGTTTTATTTTTATTATTTTATTATTTCCCTTCTACGTGACTTTACCGAAAGAACCAAGAAGATGACCGCACGTGTCGCCTGAACTGCCGGGGTAAGTTAGCGAGCACCTATGAAGGTCGGCACGGCACACGAGATGGGTGTGTGGCCAGCACCACGCCCGGCCGCCTTTGTCTCCCCGGTGGCGATGCTAGCACGTCGCAGCCAGGTGTGTTTTCATTTGAGGCTGAGTCGACCTAGGGCAGGCCCAGGACCGGTTCAAATATTCGCTATCACTCTTTAATTGCTCGTGCACGAGAATCGAACTCGGGTGGGCCGCGTTAACCACTGCGCCACCGCTCCCCACAACAACAACAGCCATTCGTCACAAGTGGCGGTGACGTCGGCACGGCGCTCGTGCCAGGCTAGGTGCACTTTAAGGCCACGTGAAGTGTCGAAGGCAGGTCACTGGACAGACCCGGTTGCCCATGGCTTGACTGAGATGACCGGCAAATGCACCACCTGTGCTCCCCCATTGTGCTACCTGGCTGCGTTTTATCCGCCCAGCGCTCTATTTGTTGTTGTGAGCGTCGCCCTCCCGCTGTTGCTGGAGGGCGACTGCCTCCAGTAGCGTCGTTCACGAGCCTCCTCCACAGAGGCCGATCTTGACACCGCTGGTTACCAGTCTTCGGCAAGTCCGCGCAGCTCCACATCCTCCTACACCAAATCAGCTCCATCTCTTCTCTGGCCCGTGTCCGTGCCCGCTGGGCCCCCTCGATGCGGCCAAATAAAACCTGCTTGGCCATGCGGTGGCCGGGCATGTGGGCTACATGACCCAGCCAAAGTCAGCCTTGGCTGCCGGAGGAGCTCACCGATGGGGCTTTGTCCAGATCTTTTGTCCAAACATTTCAAATATCAGCAGCATGGTCACGCGGCTGATGAAAAGATAATGCCGCTCGAATGATTTATTCAGAGCGAGATCTCTGCTGCCAAACCGTAGCTGGGCATGAGCACACTGCCCAGGTATGGTAACTCCTGCATGGATATGCATATAGCCTCTCCAGACCGTTTGGGAAAGTACTGTTAGCACACGAGGAGGAGTGGGTGGCCAGCACCACGCCCGGCCGCCTTTGTCTCCCGAGTGGCGATGATTTTACACACCGCACCAGGTACTCATTTGAGGGCTGAGTCGACCTAGGGGAGGCCCAGGACCGGTTCAGATAATCGTCACCGGTGGTGTTCGCCGTGAACGGGAATCGAATTCGGTTCGCCTGGTTCGTAGCGCAGCGCTGCCACTTGCCCCACATCCACACGGACCCACACACACCAGACAAAGATCCCCCGTATAGCCTGTAACAGACTTTTGGGGCAAGTGCTGTTAGCGAGTAGCACCGATGAAGGGCAGAACGGGTACACGAGGGGGGTGGGTGGACAGCACCACGCACTCGTACACACGGACACACACACCACACACACGGTGACACACACACGGTGACACACCACACACACGGGGACACACGGATACACACCACACACACGGTGACACACACACGGGGACACACACCACATACTGGGTGACACACGGGGACACACGGAGCGCGTGTGTAATAGGAGGAGTAGCGAAGGCGATGCTGCTGCTGATGTGTCATCATAGCCCCGTGTGCGCGCACACACACACATCCACATAGACACACATCCACATAGACACACATCTACATAGACACACATCCACATAGACACACATCCACATAGACACACACATCCACATAGACACATCCACATAGACACACATTCACATAGACACACATCCACATAGACACACATCCACACACACACACATCCACACAGACACACATCCACATAGACACACATCCACATAGACACACATCCACACACACACACATCCACATAGACACACATCCACATAGACACACATCCACATAGACACACACATCCACATAGACACACACATCCACATAGACACACATTCACATAGACACACATCCACATAGACACACATCCACATAGACACACATCCACATAGACACACATCCACATAGACACACACACTATACAGACCCACAAAGACTCACCCACAGACTCACACACACAAAGACTCACACACACAAAGACTCTCACACACACACTCTCACATACAAAGACACGCACACACGCACACAACCACATAGACACACATCCACATAGACACATCCACATAGACACGCACACATTCACACAGACCCACACACACCACACACAGACCCACACACACCACACACACCCACACACACCACACACAGACCCACACACACCCACACAGACTCTCACACCCACACAATCACACACACACCGGCTCGCACACAGACTCGCTGCGCGGAGAAGGGAGGGAGGGAGCATCGTGGACACGCGCATGGAACAAGAGGAGGACAACACGCACGGTGAGGCCGGTTCCACGCTGCCGTGTCCGTGCGTGTACCTGTGTGTGTGTACCTGTGTGTGTGTCTCCGTGTCTGTATGTACCTGTGTGTGTCTCCGTCGACCAGTGGCACCTGGGTCTGCCCCGTGACCTCCTGCCAGCGGGCTTTCGACACTTCACGTGGCCTCAAGGTGCACTTGGCCTGGCACAAGCATCGTGGTGACGTCACCGCCACTTAGTGGCGAATGGCGGTTGTTGTTGTTGTTGTGTCTCCGTGTGTCTCCGTGTGTGTGTCTCCGTGTGTGTGTCTCCGTGTGTGTGTCTACGTGTGTGTGTACCTGTGTGTGTGTCTCCGTGTGTGTGTCTTCGTGTGTGTCTCTCCGTGTGTGTGTACCTGTGTGTGTGTCTTCGTGTGTGTACCTGTGTGTGTGTCTACGTGTGTGTCTCTCCGTGTGTGTGTGTCTCCGTGTCTGTATGTACCTGTGTGTGTGCACGTGTCTCCGTGTGTAGTCTACGTGTGTGTACCTGTGTGTGTGTGTCTACGTGTGTGTCTCTCCGTGTGTGTGTCTCCGTGTCTGTATGTACCTGTGTGTGTGCACGTGTCTCAGTGTGTGTACCTGTGTGTGTCTCTCCGTGTGTGTGTACGTGTTGTGGGGAGCGGTGGGTGTAGTGGTTAGCGCTACGCTGCGCTATGAACCCGGCGACCCGGGTTCGATTCCCGCTCACGGCCAACACCGGTGACGATTATCTGAACTGGTCCAGGGCCTCCACCTAGGTCGACTCAGCCTCAAATGAGTATCTGGTGCGGTGTGTAAACATCGCCACTGGGGAGACAAAGGCGGTCGGGCGTGGTGCTGGCCACCCACCCCCTCGTGTACCGTTCCAGCATTAATAGGTGCTCGCTAACAGCACTTGCCTCCACAGTCTGTTAAGGCTACATGGGGGATCTTTGTCTTATCTTTGTGCACGTGTGTGTGTGTGCACGTGCTGTATGTGTGTACACGTGTTGTCTGTGTGTGTACACGTGGTGTGTGTGTACACGTGCTGTATGTGTGTGTGTACACGTGCTGTATGTGTGTGTGTACACGTGCTGTATGTGTGTGTGTACACGTGCTGTATGTGTGTGTGTATGTGTGTGTACACGTGGTGTGTGTGTGTACACGTGGGGTGTGTGTGTACACGTGGTGTGTGTGTGTACACGTGGTGTGTGTACACGTGGTGTGTGTACACGTGGTGTGTGTGTACACGTGGTGTGTGTGTGTACACGTGGTGTGTGTGTACACGTGGTGTGTGTACACGTGGTGTGTGTGTGTACACGTGGTGTGTGTGTACACGTGCTGTGTGTGTGTACACGTGGTGTGTGTGTACACGTGCTGTATGTGTGTGTGTGTACACGTGGTGTGTGTGTGTGTACACGTGGTGTGTGTGTGTACACGTGGTGTGTGTGTACACGTGCTGTATGTGTGTGTGTGTACACGTGGTGTGTGTGTGTACACGTGCTGTATGTGTGTGTGTGTACATGTGTGTGTGTGTGTACACGTGGTGTGTGTGTAAGTGTAGCGATTAGCGCGCTGCGCTACGAACCCGGCGACCCGAGTTAATTTCCTGCTCAGGGCCAACACCAGCGACTGATTATCTGAACCTGTCCCGGGCCTCCCTCTAGATCGACTCGGCCTCAAACGAGCACCCGATGCGGTGTGTGGTAAACATCGCCACTGGGGGAGACAAAGGCGGCCGGGCGTGGCGCTGTCCACCCACCCCCTCGTGTGCCACAGTGCCGGTAGCCTTTGTAAGGTGCCCGTGAACGGCACTTGCCCCAGCAGCCTGCTGCAGGCTACACGGGGGATCTTTGTCTTTGTCTCCGCGTGTCCCTTTGTGTCCGTGGCGGCCTTCAGAGGGGTCCGCTCACAGCACTCGCGCCCACGGTCTGATCACGGATCTGTGTGTGTCTGTGTGTGTCTGTGTGTCTGTCTGTGTGTGTGTCTGTGTGTGTGTGTCTATGTGTGTGTGTGTCTGTGTGTGTGTGTGTGTCTATGTGTGTGTGTGTCTGTGTGTCTGTGTGTGTCTGTGTGTCTGTCTGTGTGAGCGTGTGTGTGTCTGTCTGTGTGTCTGTCTGTGTGTGTGTCTGTGTGAGCGTGTGTGTCTGTGTGTGTGTCTGTGTGTGTGTCTGTGTGTGTCTGTGTGTGTGTGTCTGTCTGTGTGTCTGTCTGTGTGTGTGTGTCTGTGTGAGCGTGTGTGTGTGTGTCTGTGTGTGTGTCTGTGTGTCTCTGTGTGTGTGTCTGTGTGTCTGTGTGTGTGTCTGTGTGTCTGTGTGTGTGTCTGTGTGTGTGTCTGTGTGTGTGTGTCTGTGTGTGTGTCTGTCTGTGTGTGTCTGTGTGTGTGTGTCTGTCTGTGTCTGTCTGTGTGTGTGTGTCTGTGTGAGCGTGTGTGTGTGTCTGTGTGTGTGTCTGTGTGTCTCTGTGTGTGTGTGTCTGTCTGTGTGTGTGTGTCTGTGTGTCTGTCTGATGCCTTTGTTTTTCAGTACTGTACCCACGCATATCGGTATCCGTGCCAGCCTCTGTCTGTGTGTGTGGGTTGTATCGCTGTGTGCGGTGTCTTTGTGTAGGTCTTGGTTTGTGTGTCTCTGCCTTGGTCTCTCCCTGTCTCCGTGTCTTGCTGTGTGTACGTGCTTCTGTGTCTCCACGTGTCTCTGCCCTCGTTTTTGTGCCCGTTTGTGTGTGTGTATTTGTGTGTGTGTGTCTTTGTGTGTGTGTGTCTTTGTGTGTGTGTATTTGTGTGTGTGTGTATTTGTGTGTGTGTGTATTTGTGTGTGTGTGTATTTGTGTGTGTGTGTCTTTGTGTGTGTGTGTCTTTGTGTGTGTGTGTCTTTGTGTGTGTGTGTATTTGTGTGTGTGTGTCTTTGTGTGTGTGTCTTTGTGTGTGTGTATTTGTGTGTGTGTGTCTTTGTGTGTGTGTGTCTTTGTGTGTGTGTGTATTTGTGTGTGTGTATTTGTGTGTGTGTGTCTTTGTGTGTGTGTGTGTCTTTGTGTGTGTGTGTATTTGTGTGTGTGTATTTGTGTGTGTGTGTAACCCGTTATCACTACTTCTGTTTTTAATGCCTCCTTGTGTCTGGCTGTCCACGTGTATGTTCGTCTTCATGGCTGTCTGTGTGTCTGTATGTGTGTCTGTATTTGTGTGTGTGTGTCTGTATTTGTGTGTGTGTCTGTATTTGTGTCTTGTGTGTCTGTATTTGTGTGTGTGTCTGTATGTATGACTCCATCTCTTTGGCTTTGTCACTGTGCGTCTGTCTTTGTGCGTGTCTCCGTGTGTAGCTGTGTGTCTGCCTGTGTCTCGCTGCTGTTGTCTTTTTATCCGTGTGTTGGTCTCATTGTGTCACGGTCCGCCTGTCTCGGTGTGTGTGTGTTGTCTCAGCATAATTGTTTAATTGTCTCCGTGTCTCTTTGTGTATCCGAGTGTGTCTGTCTTTCTGCCTCGCTGTCTGTCTTGGTTTATTTTCGCCTTGTCTCTCCCTCTCTGCGCGTGTCTAAGTGCGTGTCTGTCATTTTTGTATCTCTGTGTCTCTACTTGTCTTTACAGTCTGTACTGATGCGTCTGTTGTGCCTTTTAGTCGATACGTGTGAACCGCCAACTCTAATGTCTCGCTAGAATGTCTCCATCTTCCTGTTTGTCTTTATGCCATAACCCTACGTTGTGTCTACATTGGATTGCCCGCTCCATTATATCTGATATATCGCTCACTGGGAGGTCGCTCATTCTTTTATGCTGCCCCCAATGTCTGGGAATCTCGACCCCCCCCCCCCAGCCATTGATGGTATCGACTCCCTGGCCCACGTTCAATGACCTGGGGCATTAGTCTGCCAGTAGCGGGGGGGGGGGGGGGGGCGATGATGATTGCCTTGTACAGTCCCAATTGAGTTTTCGAATCCGGCATTTGTTTGAGTCTACAAGCGCTCCCAGCAAAGGAACGTGGAATTTCCACGCCTGTCTTGGGCACCGCTCCATAATCACTGTAGGTAGGGGGGGATACTTTGACATTTTGACCTTGGCTTGATGATACGTAGTTTGTACATCTGTAAGGATACACGGTGTGAACAGCTTTCATAGCTTCGTCTCTGCATCAGTCGGCCTGTCACAGCGTGCTCCCGAGTAATTTGCGTCACAAACAGTCGAGTGAGGGCTCAATCCCTCGGGAATAACTCGAGGACCGATGGTATTGAAGATGAAGTTGTATTCATCCAGATGAATATTCGGCCGGGTGGCTCAGCGGTACAGCGAGCAGCTGCTCGCGATTGGAAGGTTGCGAGTTCAAATCCTGGTTGGGGGGGTTGACTCGGTCCATCATCCCTCTGGGGTCGATACAGTTGCTACTGTAATTTTTTTGGGGAAGTCAATGTTCGTTGTCCTATGGAGAGACGCGCCCCTGCCATATGAACGTGACATTTCCTCCACTGACCGCAGGGCTGTAAATGAGAAATGAGCACCGATGTGTCAATGCTTATTTCAGCAGGAAATTGCTTTGCATGTTTTGTGCAAAACCGAAGACCTTTAACCAAAACTGAATTTTTTTGGGCTTAGATCGTGCGAATATAAATATGTCATAAACCCAACCCAGGATGGCTTCTTCACAATGCTGGCAATCGCCTGATGATGTGTGGTGTAATCACCAGCGAACCGTCGTTAACTCAAATTGTAAATGTTGTGGTTTTACTCTCCAACACAGCGGTGGTGCTGAAGTTGCCACGTTCTGTTCACGTGACAAACCTTACTAATTGGCTGTGTGCCGGGTGGAGGTGGCTTCACGACACATTCATATTTCCGCAATCTAACCCAGAAAAATCAAAGCGCGTTTTAATGAATGTGGGAGAAAGTGCTTCGGTGTGGTGGCTGGAGACTGCGGGAGGCACGGGGGGGTGGGGGGGGAGCTGTCACATTCATCGATTTGAAACTATTTCTCTGAACCGAGCTCGTGGATTGAGTAGAATAATCCAACTTATCATCATCGTCGTGGTCGTCATCACGGTT